TTTCCCAGAAGCCAAGTAACCTACCAATATGTGTTTGAACTGTGGAAGGAAACCCAAGCAAACGCAGAGAGATCACACAAACTCCACACAGATAGCATCCCAGGTCCAGAATTGAAACCAGGGCCCTAGTGCTGTGAGGCAACAAAACTAATCATTGCACCTCCGCACCATCTGAAAAAAATTAACTAAAATATTAACTAAAAACGGGCAACTTTAGATACGTTTGTTTAGTGTAATTTGTCTTACTTTACCCTAAATTTTTATTTTGGGTCTCTCCTGCCTAGACTAAATAGAGGTTCTGAAATGTAATTACAAATTTATAATAAACAGGTAACAATAAAATTTCCAAATAACTTTGTGCTACATTTGGTGTTGTCTACTACTGTAACTGGGTTAAGCACTGTTAATATGTACCAGAGGTCAGAGGTTATACAGTAAACATGATTATAACATGGCGCCTGTGGTTGCTATGGTTCCCAACATCATATTACAAGTGTACCTTTAAATGCTTTCTTGGGTATCGCTATTAAGCACAGTATACTACTACTACTACTAGTATACTACTACAGTTACATAAAATATGCAAAAACATTAAGTGCAACAATATGTAAAGTAAAAAAAAATCCTACATTCAAATTGTAATTCTCTTCTTGTTCCTCTCTGGCACTTCTAAATCTATTACACCTCTGAGCACCACACTGGCTGCTCCTTGTGACAGGAAAAGCTCTACAGTTGCATTTACAGTCCTTTACAAACAGATAAAAGCAGGAAAAACAGAGTAACGCATGAAGCCTCCTGGATCACTGCACTGTGCACGCCTCCAGTGTCAGAATGTGTACCGTGACCAGCAAGAGGCGCTCTGGAGAAAGGCTCTGGAAATGCTCGAACCAGGACCCAGTTAGACACATCGAGTGGCTAATCAAGTAAAAGTGCAGACTCAAAAGTCAGTGATCATTCTGAGCAAATATCCATCAAAGCTTGCAAAGAGGCTAAACATCATAAACTTGTTTGTGATTTTGAACATGAAATTGTCAGAAGTGGGAGTGATATGGAAAGGATCTTGAATTCCAATGCAGCATGCTCAGACATTCAGCAACACAGTTCCTCAGTGCTGAGGAGGTTTGAGAAAGACCATCGTGTTCGTAGAATCTGGCTAGTACTACAGGAGGCTACTAGATTATACAAAAAGTGTCTTGTTGTTAGACATCTGCTTGTAACATTTTTAAATAAAAAAATATATTTAAATGATCGTTTCATATTATGGAAAATAGTGAGAATTATATGCTAAGAATAAAATATTTGTCCTTGAGGTTACCCAATAAGGACTATACTGTACATGTAACAAGTGTAGCCTGTGCTCTGCCCCTGCTGGGATTTGGTCACGGTTGATTGCTTGCTTGTAGCTGAAATGGCGCAACTCCATAGTCTACAGCAAAACACCACTGTGCCAAAAAAACAGTCTTCCACTGCTGCAGAATTCTACAGTGTTAAGCTTTCAAGAGAGTGATGTCACTTCTGCAACATGTTTGCTGCACTGAGGCTAGTGGGCGACAATAGTTAGATTGTGAAACCCTACCATCGACAGGCCCATCGGAGTTGCAAAAACACAAGAGGCCTCATAGCAAAAGAGTATGGGATTTGAAATCAATAATTAAAAATGTTTTAA